TCAAAAGAGAAGGCCTTTAGGGAGGGAGGGAGTGAGGGAGGGGGCAAGGCGGAGGGATTGAGGGAGAGAGTTCCAGAGTTTCGGGGCGCAGTGGCTGAAGGCACGGCCACCGATGGTGGAACCGAGGGCACAAGGCACGAATAGGAGGCCGGAGGCAGCGGGTGGTGGAGCGGGGTGCAAACAGGTCGGGAAGGTAGGGAGGGCTGAGGGAATGAAGTGACTCAGTTTGCTGCTGTCTGCAAATTTTGGCATGAAATTTCCTATACCTGAATGGAAATCGTTTATGTACATGGCGAATAGTTTGCAGTCCTAAAGCAGATCCCTGTGAAACAGCACTCACGTCACACTCACGTCAATTAAGCGTCTTCTGTATTTCATTGACATTACGTTCAATGGTGATCTGTTCACAGTAGTTCTCATTGTAATCGTTATAAATCAGTAATGTACATTTCGGATAAAATTAGGGAAAGAGTAGTCAGGATCTAGGTTTAATAGCACGCATACTCCCCCCACCCCTCCCTCCCTCCAACCCCCACAAGATCTGAACAAAAAAAAAAACAATTTCGAAAAGTTAACAATAGTTTCTCAGATTAGGTTGTAGAAAACAACACTAATCTGATACACTCTGCCAAACAGACCGGAAGATTGCAAGTTCAAACTCTACTCTGTACGGAACAAGCTAATCTCATGGGGGTGGGGGTTGGTGGGGGGGGGAAAGGAGGGCAATACTTCTGATGCTAAAATTGGCCATTCTGCAACTGGGTTAGAGAGAGAGGGGGGGGGGCAGGTGTCAGAATTCCACGAAGAATAAGGGGAAGGAATTCCACAGGTCGAGGTTTATTTTATTCTCTCAGAGCGTCCGGCACTCGGCAAATTGTTGCATCCAGTTATGGTAATAATCCTCGCCTTTGATAGAGCGCCGCGTCACGGAGTTTGTCATGTAGAAGAGTGGGTTTGAAGAAGATCGCAGAGGTAGGAAGATGCCAGGGCACGATGGCAGTTAGAGGTGAGGGTGTGCACCTCTAAATTGGGATACTGGAGCCAGCGGGGAGCGGTGCGGGTGAAGAAGAAGGCAGCAGAGCTTTGAGTGAGCTGGAGCTTTGTGCACGGTACACTCAGCGAGGCGCCCACTGGCTCTTGTCTCACTCGCTCAACTTACCCACCATTGCAAAACATAAAGATTGAGCAACTGCAAGTCTTGGTTAGATCAGGAAACCTAAGCATTCGTAAAGCCCTGTACCCGAGTGGTTAGAGCACTCGCCTCGCACGGGTTCGATTCTCGGGGGCAGGCCGAAACGTTGGGCAATCTCCGTGCGTCTCTGTTCTCCCAGCAGTAAGTAGGAACGCGGTTGTTAGTCGATCGCTTTTCCGGGGGTAACAGTCCCTTCCGATTGTTAGAATACACTGCTGTGCGCAAAACTGCTGCGCGCAATTGGCTGCCGCGTTTCGCCCACAAAAGATGCAGTCGACTCACTTCACGGTATATTCAGTGAAGCGCTTTGAGACGTCCCGGAGGACGCGCGAAGGCGCTGCGCCAAATGCAAAGATCATCCTTCTTACTATTCTTTTGTCTGCCCTGCCGGAGGTAAAGCGCATCCCCCCCCCCCCCCACCACCCGAACCCCGCTCGCGCGAGGGGTGGTGCCGCGGCGCCGTAACCCGCAAGCGTTGCTTTGGCGCAGCTGCAGAGGATCGGCACGCGGCCGTGCGGCAGTGAAGGGGTTACGGGGCACTGGGAAACATGAGCTCGCGGGATCAGTATCTGGCAGGCGAGGCCGGGCCAGGCCAGGCCAGGCCAGGCCAGGCGGTGGGAGTCTCAGCAGCGTGCAGTTTCATTTTCCATTTGCCGATCGTTCACTGCAGCAGCAGCAGCAGCAGCAGCAGCGCGCGTGTTCTTTTTAAACGCCCGTTAGGTGATTGGGTGCAGAGCTAATTAGCATGTGCAGTCGACCATTTTCCACCGCTTTGAGGAATGTGCTTTTTAAGAAGTGCAGAACGAGCCCCGGTGCTCGGGGCCTCACTCACGCCCGTCGCCTGTGCCTCAGTGAGGAGTGACCTCATGTTCCTGCAGGAATGTACCGGCGGCGGCTGCTGCAAACTGCAGCCCTCTTCCCGTGCGTCGCTGAATTGCCCTGAACGTTTTAGATTTTATTTAGAATCGGCTGTTTAATGCACCCATTGTGTACGTGGATTAAAATGCTTCAAATCCCAAGCGGTTGGAATTAGCAGCATAGGTACTGGGAGTCTTGCAAACTAAATATTGCTTGGTGCGGGGGATATTCCTCGTTAGATAGCTTCCTGCCTGATTTCCCATCTTGCAGTTATAAAATGCTGAGGTGGATTTAAGTCTTCAGTTTTTTTCCTCTGCAGCGCATTCCTTTTTTTGATCGGGGTTTCAGACTCGTGACATTCGATGGCCTGAGAGGCAGGGGATGAATGAGTCTGCCTTCTAAACGTGACGAATGCTTTTTTTTTTAAAAGGTTGTGAATTGTCATTTTCTTTTAAAATGCGCCCCCCCCCCCCCTCCCCCCCCCCGATCAATTTGTTTTAACCTGACGATCGATTGTGACATTTTCCTGGTAAAGTAATTCAAATGAAAAGTAATTACAAGGGCACAAACTTGTGCTATTCCACGGCCTGCTCTGACACAAAGAGGTTCATCCATGTTGTACTTTCAAAGCTCCCTACATGCGCTGGCCTTTTTTAGCGTGATAACGTGTTAAGTTTTTGATATAACTGGATTTTGTTTGAGGCTGACACCCTGATTATCAGGCAAACTAAATTGAGAGGGCGGAGGGTTAGGTGGGCTCTGCGTTATCGGAGGCACTGTCCTTTGGGTGAGAAGTTAAACTGAGGTCCCATTTGTGCCACGTCAATGATCCATTACTCGAAAAGAGAAGGGTTTTTTTTTTCTTTGTCACTCACTTCGTGGCTGGTCGTGGGTGTGGGGGTGGGGGGGGGGGGTTGGACATCGTCGTATGCAAATTGGCTGCTGGGTTTGCATGGCAAAATTTCCGTGGACCGTTTTGAGACGTCCTGACCATGAGGCACTGAATCAGATGCAAGGATTATTATTTAGCGTCACCAGAATTCTGTGCCCTTTGATCACTGGCACCTCTTGTGCACCTCAGCTTGGTTTTGTGATCGCGTTAACCTGGATAAAATTCCTTTCTTCTCCCTCCACCCCCAGAAAGTCATTGTAGCATTCCCTGCAATCCTTTTCTGTGGCTGAATATTCTCGCGGTTCAGTGTCCCGTGGCCATTTTTATTTATAATAATTCTTCTTATTATTATTTTCAGTTTCAAAGCACGCTCCCGTTCCCACCCACGGTGCCACGCTGAGCCATTATAAAGCAACAAAGCCACAGGTTTCACTCCCTGACCTGTTGAATTAAAGAAAATCCACACCAAGGGTGTTAAGATTCAAAACTGATTCATAAAACAATTCTTCATGCTCTTGTGTTGTGCAATTGTGGTGTACAGTGCCCTGCAGGCTCTGGATGCTTAATCAATTGGGAATTAAGGACATTAATAAGGGATTATAGACAAATCTCGGGAAATGGGATTAAAAGATAATAATAGTTGCATTTAATTTAGCGACTTATGTCGAACCTTCCCAAAGCACTTCACAGAGTTTTCTGTAAAATGTACTGATTGTAGTTGTTATTATTGTTGTGAGCTAATACAATTTGCGCACAGCAGTGTCCTACAAACAATCATGAAGTGGATGACCAATTCTATATCTGGGGAACTGTGGGCCAAAACACTGGGAGAAAACTAGGCAGACGGGATCTCCCATAAAATATTTCGCCCACAGAATATACAGTCAATTCGCTTTACAGTATATTCTGTGAAGCGCCTTGAGACGTTTTGAAGACGTGAAAAGGCTCTGTATCAAGCAAGGATTATTATTATGTATTATGTATCTCGGATTAACTTCTCATCCAGAGGACAGTAACTCCCAACAATGCGAGGGAGGTTCCCCCTTCTCTTTTAGGGGGCAAGAGCACTTTGGGGCAAGAGCACTTCCAACCAGACTGACGTGGCAATCAGTACAAGCTCAGGATGGCTGGCTTGTGCTCCTAAGGCTGTCCTCAGCTGCCTGAGGGAATGATTTAGTGAGAGTAGGCACATTGCAGTTTGGTGACCAACGCTGCTATGTGCTGATTGCGCATTGGAACATATTGGTTTCAGTGACGGAATGACGTTTGTGTAATTTCTTTTGCCCCCACGTCACGGGCTTACGCGAGATGAGTGACTACTTGGCCCGAGTGCTTGCTGCAGGGCTGCTTGCACCTGTGGAACCACACTTCGGAGTGCGTCACTGCTTCAGGAGAGGACGGGGATAATTGCAGGGGGGGGGGGGGGAAGGGATCTGTTTGCGGGCTGTGTGCATGGGTAATAAGAGAAAAAGCAGCTTCCCTGCTGACAGCAAAGGTTCAGCACACTCACACTGGATCGCAGCACAGCTGAAAGTCTTGCGTTCTCAAAATAAGAATGCAAGTAAGTCAGGAGGCTAGCAAACTGCCCTCTGTCTGGGAGGGTTCTCTGGTTCCCAGGAGTGTGTGAGCTGATCGTGCGATCTCCTGATCTCTTACCGTGTACACTCTGGCCGTCGACCTATCTATAGCGGCAGAATGTGAGAATAATTTCACGTGGAACTTCCACGCAGCATGCCTCCTTGCAGAGTGTAGGTTTGACTCATTGAATGGTGATAGCAGGCAGCTTAATACTCACAGCTTAGCTTTCACAACGGGTATTTTATTTCCTCAAAGTGCAGTGACTGACAACAATTTCATGCTGCGTTCACTTGAAAGATTATTGATTTTTATTCTTGGAATTATAGAAATTTACAGCGTAGGAGAAGATCATTTGGCCAGGACTCGGGACAGACTGCATTCAGTCTCACTGCCCTGCCTTATCCACATACCCCCTTCAAGCCTTTATCTTCCGCGTATCCGTCCATATTCAATGTTCTGTGTTTATTGTCCACTGTACAGGCAAGAAGAAGCAGAAAAAGGGCAAGACTTTGACCCTGACTGACTTTCTGGCAGAGGATGGTGGAGGAAATACCCCTGCCTACATTCCCTCAAAGCCTGTAAGCTGGGCAGACGAGACTGATGACTTGGACAATGAAGGTAAGGTGATCGATCTCTTATTGCCTTAGACAGGCCGTTTTAACACGGACACAGGCCATTCGGCGCAACAGAAGTGAGCGAGTGGTGAACTTATGGAACAGGCTCCCTAGGGAGACAGTGGAAGCAGAAACAGTCACTTGTTTCAAGAGTAAATTAGGTCAGATTTCTGCTAGAAAATAATATCTCAGGATACAGTATATAGTTTGGGACACGACATGTCAAGTGACTGCCAGGATGTTGGAAGGCAAACGGGGCGGACTTTGGTCTTCTTTTGCCAGCAAATTCTTACCTTGTTAATAATTGACGTCCACTTGAAAGATCAAGAACTCATTCTGATGATGCATTTCGATTTGAAAAGCCAAATAATAACTCGTAATATGTCTTCCCCCTTTTGGCGTGTGACTGATTCAACATCAGGGTGGGAACTGGAAATTGTTTGCATTGTATTGGTAGCATCAGTCCCTTAAGGAGAAAGAGCGCAGGGGGAGGTCAGTGTAAAGTATAAGGTTTTTGTGGAATCCTGTAGATCAGTGGTCAGAGCGCTCGCCTCCCAAGCGAGAGGATCTGGGTTCGATTCCCAGGGGCGGGCGATGTTAGACACGTTTCCTTGCTCCACACACACACGCCTCTGTTTACCTAGTAGTAAGTAGGAACCCGGTTGTTAGTCGATTGGCTTTTCTGTGGGTAACAATTCCTTCCATAATAATCATAAACTGGTCACTCAATCCACAACTGTTTGTGGAACACTGCTGTGCGCAAATGGCTGCCGCATTTCACCCATAAAATATACAGTCACTTCACTTTACAGTACGTTCAGTGAAGCGCTTTGAGACGTCTTGGAGACACGATAAGGTGCTGCATCAATTGCAAGGATCATTATTATTTCCCGGATACTGTCGTTGTGTCTCTCTCGGGTCGCGCATTAACACGTGATAGCAGGTGGTAAATGTAACAAGAGACAAATGGTTTTCCATGGTGACCCCAACGGTCGCTGAGAGCAACATCTTGGAGAAAGGCTTGGAGAAATGACACTGCGGGAAATTGCAGGGATTTCCATCAAGCTAATACGTGCCCTTAGTTCGTCAGCTGTTTACTAGCTGGAGACTTAGCTGTTTCTTTGACTGCACTTTTGACCGTCTTTCCCCTCGCCTTCTCCGTCATCCTCATCCTCTTTGCTCAGGCACATTGATTAGCCCGTCCTTAAGAACGAGTCTTATTTTGCGTTTTGCAAAGGATGATGTTTTTAACGTCATTAATCACAGTCCCTGCTGTTGACATAGTGCGAGTTATTGAACTCGACAGTATTCAGTCATTGGTGCTCACTGTTTGATCGATGTTGCCCATTGAAAGCTAATTGGAAATTGAGGAGTTACATTTTGATGACAAGATTACAGAGAATAAGGACTGAAAATCATCTTGATGGACCTCAGCATTTGAAACATTTATTGAATAGTAAAAAAGCACATTGCAGTCAAAACTTCCGGATGAAATCTTGCCGTCTTCACTGCACCCTTGGTAAAAAAAAATAGCCTGGGTATGTTTCATTTTTTTCGAAGGGTATTTGATGGCAAACTTTCATTCCTGCTGTGTGTGGAGAAAAACATTAATTGTTTCTGACCTAATCAATACCATTGTTTCGTAGAAACAGGAGTCGACTATTCAGCTCCTCGAGCCCATTCCACCATTCTATAAGATCGTGGCTGATCTGTACCTCAAGTCCAATTACCCGCCCTTGCCCCATATCCCTTAATACCCCGATCTGACAAATATCTATCTACCTCCGCTTTGAAAATGTGAATGGATTCATTGGCTGTGAAGAATGCAAGTGGCCACCTTTCAAAACAGAACGACAGTACTGTGTGTTTGTCTTTTTAATCCCTTTACAATCCAGTGTTGTCCGATTTTCTCTTTTTTTGCGTTCCTGAATCCGACACTGCATTGCCCCAAATTCTGGGAATTCCCATCTGTGTTTGCGGCCGGGATCCGGCCAATCAGGAATGCGACGTACGTTATGGGACGTCTTTCCGACGTGAAGGGCGTTATACAAGTGTAATTTGTTGCTGCAGTTGTTGTCGCTAGAAACCCTCCAATCGACTCGGGTTTTCCATAACGGCTTCAGAAGTCTCGTGACATTGCTCCTCGTGTGCATTTAGTTCCTCTGAGGTATGATTTTTCTTGTTGACAGTTTCCACCGCCTGGCCCAGCGCTGACGAAGATATGTACAAGCCAGCGATCAACCGGGCGTTGCTGCCTACGGCGCCTCGCGCTGCTCGGGCCCCGGATGTTGACACGACCCGTCTGCCGAAATACCCGCCATACACAGCCTTTCTGGGGAATTTGCCTTACGATGTGTCTGAGGAGTGCATTCGAGAGTTCTTTCATGGATTGAATGTAAGTAGAAACTCAAGCGAGATGCTTCCCAGGCTTGTCCTGTCCGTGAACACACAAGTCGATCCACTTTACAAGATATTCCTGTGAAGCGCTTTGAGACGTGATGAGGCACTATATCCTTTGCGTGATAAAACACTGTACCCCTCCCTCTCTCCCCACCTATAATCCCGCCTAAATTCCTTTTTGATCGTGCTTACGGTCCCCAAAAATCCCCAAAACCCGAAGTCTGAGACCCGAGGTCACTGAGTGCCACCATTTGACGTGCAGTGTTTGGCTCTCAAAGCTAGTCTGTGTGTGCGAACTGAGAGGGTGAGGGTGTACAAGGCTACTCAACTGTGGCAAGTCACCACGCACAAAGGTGCTTCACACGTCATAATGCACAGAACACTGCTTACCGGCCTCTGCCAACTCTGGCCAGCGTCTGGACAAGTGCCTGGACACTTGGCTTTTTATGATTGGTAAAGGTTTATAAGGCGGGAGGAAAAGTACTGAAAATGTGGGGGGGTGTGGTGGGGGGATGGGTCTGGTCTTCAACAGCACTGGTGTGAATATATAAAAAAAATAATCATAATAATTTGGTCGCTCCATCCGCGGCTGTTTGTGTGGGGGGGGAACGCTGCTGTGCGTAATTGGCTGCCCCGTTTCGCCCACAAAATACACAGTCACTACACTTTACAGTGTATTCCGAGAAGATGATCACCATCGTTATTATTATATTATAATTCTGTTGTAGCCCCTATTCTTCAGACAGCACCAAAGCCGCATTATTAAGGCACCACCAGGGTTTCAGCCCTACTATCCATTGATTTATTTTTTCCTCTGGTGCTTTTTTTAATATAAAATGCCCCCTCCTCCTTTATGTGGTGCACACAAATTGGGGGGGGGGGGGGCGAGAACCTCCCAGGCTGGAAATTTGTGATTGGGTGGGTGCAGTTCCCATTCCATTCGCAAGCGGCTACAGGCTGTCCATCACCTGGGAGCCGCGGCTGATTGGTCCCTTTCCCGTTCAATGGGGCGACGGCAATGGGAGGGGAGGAGGCGCCGCCGGTCGCTCTGATGGGGGGGAAGAGAACTTCGGTTAGCCTCGGACACCGCTTAACCCGGACAAAACATCCACCCGGATGTGTCTGGCTTACGCGGATCCCGCCATGTTTTCCTGTAAGGCTGATTGAGTGGCATTGCCTATCCGATGGGATCTACAGGAATGCGTCTTCGTTTCGCCCACAGAACGCGCAGGTCCCACTCTGCTTTACCGTGCATCCTGCGAAGCGCTTCGAGACGTCTCAAAGGCGCGATAAGGCGCTACGTCAAAATACAGGGATTATTACTCTCGGATTACTACTAATTTGCTTCTCTCTTCCCCTACCCAAAGATCAGTGCAGTTCGTTTGCCGCGGGAATCCATGAACCAGGATCGGCTGAAGGGATTTGGCTATGCGGAATTTGATGACGTGGATTCCCTGATAAATGCTTTGAGCCTCAACGAAGAGGTGGGTGTATACCTGAATGGTACGGGATCGATATATCAATTCAAAACTTGCCAGCAGAGCAGCAGTGGCCCAGCTCACTGTTAGTAATAATATAGGAAAACAGGACAAGCACGGGAGACCACTCAACCCATTGTAAGGAAGGAGTTAACGTAGAACTCTACAGGGATCATCGTTTTGTATAATCATCAACTATAATAAATTTTTTAGCATCCAAATTCTGCGTACGCTACTCCATTGTTAATAATAGTAAAGTTTCTTTACACCATCAAGCCTGTTCCACCCACCACTTTATTAGATCTCAGGCAAATCTTTTGTACCCTTTGGCATACCGCGCCCCCCCCCCCCCCCCCCCTCCCCTCCATCCATCGAATACCCACACGGCTGTGAATCTCTCTCTCTTAAGCTTCCTATTAATTCCACCTCGATAGCTTTCTGGAACGGAGCGATTCCCAAACCCGCTGCGTGAAGAAATGCTTGAGGACTCCAGGCCAGTCATGGCAGTACATGGCTCGTTAAGATCGGATTGTTTTGGGCAGGAATGGTTCAGAAAGTTTCCCCGAGACGTATAAAGTTACAGGCAGGGACGCTCGCGTTCTATTCAAATTATGTTTGCGTTCTTTGCTACTTGATTTAGATGCTGCAAAACCGGAGAATAAGAGTGGATATCGCAGATCAAGCTCAGGATAAAGGTGAGATTGCTAATTCGCGCAACATTGCAATAAACTTGTAAGATGTGGGTATAAAAAAGACAGGGGTCAAACCAGCAGTGTTTGCGCTTTATGGTTGACAATCGGATGAGGCGTTATTAAACTCAGATCCCGTCTGCCTGTTCAGGTGGACATTAAAGCTCCCGTTCGAAGAGAGAAGGAAGTTTCCACCGGTATCTTGGCTGACAATCCCTCAGTAAAATTGGTCATGCACTTCGCGGCTATTTGCGCGACTTTGCTGTGTGCGAAATCGTCCGCTGTGTTCGCCCGCAAAACACACTCGTAGTATGTCGTGGGAGGGGCGGTACACTGGAAAGTCGATCCTCCAGAAGGCGCTAATACCAGAAGAAAGACTTATTATTATTTCGACGAGCGATGTCAGTCGATGCGCTTTTTAATTGAATCGTTCACTTCCGAAACTAGACAAAGACGACCGATTCGGGAGGGGAGGAGAGCGCGACAGGACTCGTGACCTGGAGATGGAGACCGACTGGCGAGCCAGGCCAGCCCCCAGCAACGATGATTATCCCCCGAGAAGAAGCGATGATTCCTTTGGTGAGAGTGAGTGTGGTAGTAGAGGGGTGAGAAAGACCTTAAGGGACAACTAACTGGGTGTGCGCGTCTGTGACCAACCTGTTGTCTTTCACCTCCCGCCATCTTGTGGGCGAGCTTTCAGCCACTTGACGTGATAAGATGCTATATAAATTACAAGGGTTATTATCGCTAACCATTGCACTGCAGACAAATGTGGAGGGAGGAAAAAAACAGCGGGTCAGCGAAAATGAGTGAGAACAATGGATTTAGAAAGTGCTGATGGTTCAAACCAGGACTCGGCTTTAAACAGTAATGGTGTCACATCATCCCACATTCAGCAAAATCGATGTGCCTAAATACTAGATTAGTTCAGCCCAGGGTTGGCATTGTGTGGATTGATTCTGATGTTTAGGGGGGAAAAGCAAGGGTAGGAGTTCTATAGAATCATAGAGATTTACAGCGCAGAAGCAGGCCGTTCGGCCTATAAAGTTTGCACTGTGGAGTCCTGGTTAGAGCACTCGCCTCGCAAGCGAGAGCACCTGGGTTCGATTCCACGGCTGTTTGCGGGGGACGCTACTGTGCGCAATTGGCTGCCACGTTTCACCCACAAAATACACAGTCAATTCACTTTGCAGTATATTCTGCAAAGCGCTTTAAGTCGTCTCAAAGACATAAGGCGCTATATCAAGGGCAAAGATTATTATTATTATTATAAGTTGTCCATTGAATCCCACAACCTTCATATAACCCTCTACGTTCCTCTTGAAAGCCACAGCTCTGTTTGAAAGCTCTGTTTCGACCTTCTACTCTGCTTCACTTAGCAGGACATTCCACATTCCAACAACTTTCTTAAGTGAAAAGAATTCTTCTAAGCTCTCCCTTTGCTCTTCTTGACTATGTTTAACCAGGGCCAGTAGAACACTGCAGAAGTGCTTACCAAAAATTGTGGTGAATGTTGTGGAAAGTCTTGCGGGTTGGGTTGATTTGTGCTATCGAGGTCCATTTTACCACCAACGTACATTTTTTCATTTTATCAATCAAGACTAAACGTGAAGAAATAACACACGTTAGATTGTTGCATAAGATATTCTGAATGCTTTCTTTAGCAAACACTGGTTGGCCCACTCTGTGGTGATAAGAGGTCACCACGGAGAGAGAGAGAGAGAGAGAGAGACACGCACAGACACACACATACACGCACAGAGAGAGAGAGACGCACACTCACAGATACCGAGAGACATACATACTCACAGAGTGAGAAAGAGAGACAGACACAGAGAGACAGACATACATACTCATAGAGCAAGAGAGGGAGAGACACTCACAGACACAGACATACATATTCACACACAGAGAGAGACACACACACTCACAGACACACATACAGACAGCGAGACGCAGAGACACACACACACCCGCACACGTACAGAGAAAGAGACACCTGCAGATAATCACAAGGTGAGCAAAGCGGTCACGGTCCCAAATCACACGTGGTTCCAGCAGCGTGGCCTCTTTCTTTGCAGGAAGTCGAGATCGTTTCGATTCGGATCGATTCCGTGACCGAGATGGTCCCCGTCGGGATGGAGATAGGTTTGACGGAAGAGACCGTTTCCGGGATGATGGGTTCAAGGATCGTGGCTACGATCGAGGTGAGTGCAGCTCTGCGACGCTATCCATCGTGGAGGGCGCTTTGTAAGTGCAAGTCGTTGTTGTTGTTGTCCTTGCGACACAGGGAATCACTTTGCTCTGCCTAAAGAGTTCAGTTACGAGGACAGGTTGCATAAACGAGGTCTCTATTCCCTTGAGTTCAGACGGTTGAGAGGGCTGATCTGATTGAGGTTTTTAAAATAATGAAGGGATTCGATAGGGTGGATACAGAGGAACTATTTCCTCTGATGGGTGGCGGGAATCCAGAACAAGGGGGCATCGTCCTAAAATTAGAGCCAGGCCAGTTAGGAGGCAGTTTTTCATCCAAGGGGAGTGGGAATCTGGAACTCTCTTCCCCCAAAAGGCTGCGGATGCTGAATCCACTCACATTTTCAAGGCTGAGGTGGACAGATATTTGTTAGGTCGGGGGTTTTCTGCAGACACACATTTACTTTGCAGCGTATCCTGTGAAGCGCTTTGAGACGTCCCGAAGACATGATAAGGCGCTGTGTCAAATGCCAGGATTACTATTATTATTAATATTTTTGGTGTGTGTGTTAATTGTGAGTTATGTATGTGTGTAGTTAGTATGTGTGTTTGTTGCGCGCGTGTGTTTGTCGTATGTGTGTATGTTAGTCGTGTGTGTGTATTTTAGTTGTGTGTGTGTATGTTTGTTGCGTGCGTGTGTAATAAAAAAAAGTCTTTCCCCAAATCTGTTCAGGTGACTTAACCAGTTCAGTGACTTAAACGACGGAAAGATTTCATTGGAGCGCATTTCTTTGCAGGCGGGAGCCGGCGCGAGTTCGGCACCGGCTTCCGACGGGACACCTATGACGACAAGCGGTCTGATGATTTCCGAGGGGGCGGCGATCGTTACGGCGACCGCTACAACTCTGGGTTCGACCGCTACGAGAGGAGAGAGGAAAGAAGAAGCGACTTCAGCTCGAGAGATGATATGAGGCATGAAGATCGAGGTAGGGCGTCCTCAAGACTTCGCTGAGGAAAACCTCTTGTTTTATTTTCCGTCTAACAAAAAATAATAAAATCCTTACAAAGAAAGGGAGCTCGGAGGTCGATTGTACAATACAAATTTACGTGCGTACAACATCATTCACGTCGGGGGGACGTCCCGAGGCGCTAATCCTTTAGATCCTGTGAGTTTTGACGCTGCTTTTGTGACGTTTTCCGAGCTTCCGTTTTGGTTGCCGCATTTCGCCCGCAAAATATACTTTTAAGGTGTATCGTGTGAAGCGCTTCGAGGTGACTCGGAGACGTGATAAGGCGCCGTATCAAATGAGAGGATTATTATATTATTATTATTCGAGTACAGGATAAAAGAGTCGGGAGTTCACCGTGCGTTTCCGTTCCAAGGCAACTGCTGACGCGAAATAATTCCTCCTCCAGGTAGCGTCCAAAGACCGAAGCTCAACCTCCAGCCCCGCAGTGTCTCGAACCAGGAGGTTGTCCGTGCCCCTCCCCCGCCCTCATCCGGAAGATCCGCGTCCATTTTCGGAGCCGCCAAACCAGTGGATACAACGGCCAAGGAACGGGAGGTGGAGGAGAGACTGAAGAAAGAGCAGGATAAGCTCCTGCGGCAGCTGGATGATCAGGAGAGAGGAGTCAAGACCATCAGGCAGCCGAGAGAGAGGTGAAGCACTGCAGTCGATGAGTATTGTTCTTGTGCTTAACAGAGATGCCCACAAAATGCGCTTTACAATCCATTCCGCGAAGCGCTTTGAAACGTCTCGACGAGACCCTCTGGGAGCGAGGGTAGCACACGGCTGCACAGAGCCCCATCAAGAGTTTAGTGCCCTTCGTTGTTCCCATTGGCGGCCGTCCGGATTAGATGCCCTTCGGAGAAGCGACTTTTGCACCTCTGTAACTTGAGGGTTTGATTTGAGCTGCGAACCTTCATCGGAGCTCGTGGCCTCTGAGCTGAGCCTAAGTCGCACGTTACGACCGACCTCTTCGACTGCACCTACGGTCACCTCTTCCCCGCCCACCCCCCACCCCACTCTCCCTTGTGTATGTGAGCTGTGAAGCTCCCGGAGATGCCGAATTGCTGCTCGTGGTTTGGTCGACGAATCGTGTGGCCTGAGCGCAAGGCAGTAAAGCTTTTACTTCTTGTCTTGCGGCGTCTGGCGCTGAACCTGTTCTTTCCTCCCTCGACGCAGGCACCCGAGCTGGCGAACCGAGGACCAGCCAGAGCGCTCACGTACAGCTAGCGAGTCCTCGCAGCCGAGCAGCTCCACCAGCAGAGGTGAGGACATCAGCCATTTTTACTCCAGCGGGCGCGGGGGGGTGAGGTTGGGGGTGGTGGGGTGGGGGGGAGTCTAAAATCCCGTGGGGGCTAGCGGTAAGCCCCTCGGGACGCTACCTCGCGTGAGCGGCGCTATTATAGATGCCGCTGCTGTCGTCGTGCCAAGGAATTTTATGTCCGTTCATAGGCTCTCTTTTCAGAAGGGAAAAAAAACCTGACGTTAGAAAGGCTTCTGTGATAACATTTTAAACCGGGTGCGTGTTGTGCGGGTGGGGGTGTCGTGTCTGCGTCTGCGTGTGGGTGTGTGGAAGGAACGGGGAGAGAGAGAGGATAGATGAGCTCGATCGATAAACGTGCTTCGGCCACTGATAAACCTCAGCGTCGTCGGGTCCGTTTGGTTGCAGTTGAAGCAGCAACTGTGACCCCTCCTGATCTCGCTCGAGACGGTCACTCGTGGGTCCGGAGGCAGTCGGTGTCCTGCAGGTGGCAGTGCAACACAAGGAGTGAGCAGTCAGGACATTGAGTGCGAATTTGTGTTTAAATTAACTGGGGGCGGGGGGGAGGCTGGATTAATCTTCTCCTGGGCAGGTGTGAGGGGAGTGGGAGGGGAGGGGGAAGAGGTTGAATGAGACTGAGGAGATACTTAGCACCAAATGATGGGTGGTGGTGGTGTGGGATGGGTGGGGGGGGGGGGGGGGAGGAAAGAGAGAAGAGTTCTCGAGTGTTTTATTTATTTCTAATTCGAGTATTAATATTCGAAGGGAGTGGGGAGGTGGGAGGGAGTCTCTGCAGCTGAAACTCATCCTCCACTGCTGTTTCTTTGTACATGCTTCCTAACTGTTGTGGGACTTCAAAGATAGAAGAATAAAGTTGCTAAGTCACATCGGTAAAGCTTTGCCATTTGTTATCGTAGTATATTAAAACAAAATTCCGCTCTAGTCAAAACGCCCAGAAACCACCCCCCACCCCCCCCCCCTCCCGCCCGCGTAACTTTTTCAAGCGAGCTTTTTGTTAACGTGTGCAAGTGACTGCCGGCCAAATCATTCGTCATTTATTTGGCTCTCGGCTGCAGTGGGCAAGTCTCGATGCGGCTCGCGCAGCCAATATTCTTGATTTGCTTTTAATATTCGGAGCGTTTCCCCTGAGAAATCTGATCTTGTACTGTGAGATCAGTGGAAATTTTCGGGGGGGAGAGAGAGAGAGAGAGAGAGAAAGAGCTCCAATTCGTCCTACGATTAAAAATTTGGGCCCTTTGTTATTCGTTTGAAAGGGTGAGTTCCATGAGTACAGTTCCCTGTCTTTTTTTGCCAACTCTCTCTCTCTCTCTACAGAGAGCCTTTCGCCGACATTAGGATTTACTAGCGGCCTTGGTTTGGTGTTACAAATCTGGTATCTTAGCGTTTCTAATTGGTGACGGTTAGTGTAAGATGCAGAGTCATCCGGTAGACCCGAAAACTAAGCACCAGCCACTAACCGCCTTCTTATTTGTAATCCGTAAATTCTCGGGTGTCTGCTCACCCATCCAAACACTTTGTGCCAGTGAGCTCTTAAGAGGGGCCATTTGTCGTATCTGTTCTGAAGCGTTTTCTATCTGATTGTCTCGAGCTGCAGTGAGGAGAGAGAGCGAAAAGTCTTTGGACAACGATGTCTTCAAGTCCGAGGAGCCACCGCATTCGCCGGCGTCCAAGTCGACTAAGTCCGATCAGCCTCCACCTCTTAAGGTGGTTCCTGCCCCTCCGCCGAAGGAGAACGCCTGGGCCAAGCGAACAATGGCCGGCTCGTCCCAGAGCTCCGACACTGAGGCCAGGCAATCTCTGTCCCCTGACAGCAAGTCAGAAGATACATCACAAGGGTAAATATCACCGTATATTCTCCCCACCCCCCCACCCCCCCACCACACACACACACACTGCTTTTCCGGTGGTAATAATTCCTTTTAAAAAAAGTAAAAATAAATTGGTCACTTCAATCCTCGACGGTTTGTGGGACACTGCTGTGCGCAACCGGCTGCTGCGTTTCGCCCACAGCACACACGGTCACCACACTTTAGGGTATGTCCTGTGAAGGAACCGCTTTGAGACGCCTCGAAGACGCGATAAGGCGCTGCATCGAATGCAAGGGTTATTATTGCTATTATTGTTGGGAGTCGTTTTTGTGGTGTTGATGAGGAGCCATTAAAGAGAAGTTGGAAGCTTTGCTCTTGAGCAGCTTTTCCAATTACCCTCAGCCAGGAAAGTGTTTGGCACAGAGAGACAATTTAGGATTTTTCTGGACGACTGCTGCACATTTGGTCGCCCATAAAATAATCCCTTCAAAATTCCTTGGCGCCCGTCCAGAAATTTGCCATCGGTGAGCCTCTTGTCCTGCTGCCTTGGCACGTCTCAAAATAAGGTTCTCCTGAATTGCTTGGATATCTGAATCAGTTGAGGGGAGCAGAAGAACGTCCGCCAGAGCATTAACGTCTTCAGCGAAGTCGTGCATGCCTCCTCTCGCTCCCCCATCCCAATGGAGCGCCATCCCACCCTCCTTCTCCTCGGCCCCTCCTTCGAGGCCCGTCTCAAGACCCTCCTCTTCGCCCGCGCCTTCGGTCACCCTCCTACCCTCCCCGGCCCTTCAACCCTCCCCGATCCCGACCCCCAGCTCGGGTCCAAACCCCTGACTGTCCAGCGCCTTGGGACGTCCTCCCGGCGTGAAAAGCGCCGGGTAAATTGTCGTCCTGTATTGTATCCTGACAACTGGTCTTAATTTGAGAGATACAAACGTACGGACGACGGTGTTTTTTTTTGGTGGTTTTGAAATGTAAAAAAAAAAGTTGTGGAGAAAGTCGATTTTACAGTGTTGAATTTCAATCTTTTTTCTTTTAACGCAGCGAAGACAGGGCTGAGGTCGCCGTGGATCCTTTTATGGGTATGACAAGATGCCTCTTATCGCGACAAATTTGAACTCCTCCGTCCCGCTCGCAAATAGAAGCCGCAATTTAAGTGCGACGCCCGCAGTTTAAGCGCTTTCGAGACATCCTCCCGACGCAAAAGGCGCGACGTCAATGCAAACCGCTGTCCCTGTTTCACTGCTCCAGGGTTGTGCTGTTGAAAGCTGTGTGTGTGTGTGCGTGTGTGTGTGTGTGTGTTTTTGTGTGTATTTTTGATACAGGAGGGCCTCTCTCTCTCTCTGCATTGTCTGATTGCATTGCCATGGAATCCCGTAGCTCAGTGGTTTGAGCACTTAGCTCGCAAGCGAGAGGACCCGGGTTCGATTCCCGGGCAGATCAGGGCGAAATGTTGGGCAAGTTTCCTTACTCCGCACACGCACACACACACACACACACGCGCGCCTCTGTTTTCCCAGCAGTAAGCGGGTGCCCGGTTGTTAGTGGATTGGCGGATCGCTTTTCCGGGGGTAATAATTCCTTCCAAAAGAAAATAACAACAATAAATTGGTCACTCAGTCCACGGCTGTTTGTGAGACGCTGCTGTGTGCAAATGGCTGCCGCCTTTCACCCCACAAAACATACACAGTCAATTCATGTTGATCGTTTTTCCAAGGATAATAATCCCTTCAAATAAAAAAAAGTGGGGGTGGGGGGGAGGATTGCGCAGCCCGTGTCTGTCGGTGTTTCCCTTCCTGACAAGAAGCCCCTGTTTGGCCAGCGAGCTGCTGGTGGAGGATGGAAGGAATCCTGCGATTGGGATTCCTGACCCAGAATGAATCTGAAATCCTCGCTGAACGTGGGAGGTCAGATAATGGCCGGCCTCCCTCGCTTGGCGCCCACTTACCGGCTGAACTGGCGAGTCCCCAACAGGCTTGTTTTGTACCTCAAAGGATTTTGAATTCTTCTGGTGTTGCAGTGGAATTTCCATGTGTAGGTGGCAGATATACATATATATATACACACACACACACACACGTGGATACTCTTGAGATATGGCGCTGGGTTTGTGTGCGCATGGCAGACAGCCAATTGCCCCCCAAAAATCATTTGGTACAGTTAGGTAACTTTACCAGTAAAGACTTGAATACCCAATTTCCCCCTCCCTGCCTCACTCGTCTCCCCCCCCCCCCCCCGCCCCCCACCCTCCCGTTGAGTTTTTAAGTGGAATCTATCGCTTTCCATTTTCCCTCCCAAGAAATTACCGATTTTACGCCGTTTGCGAAGGCCGACAAAACCAGTTTATGATTCCTTTTGTCACAGGAGATCAGAATGAAGAGGGTCCAGGGGTGAAGAGAGAGACCACCTCCCCCACGGGGCAGGGCGGGGGGAGTGGCGGGGTCAGCCAGGGGCGGAGCGAAGGTGCGAACAAGGACCGGAGGAAGGAGCCAGACAGGTCTGTCGTTTGCATCTTTCTTGCTACAAGTGAACAATTTAAATGCGTTTCTGCTCATTGCTCTGCTCTGAAGTCCAGTAGCTCAGTCGCAAGCGAGAGGACCCGGGTTCGATTCCCGGGCGGGCAGGGAGAAACACTGGGCGTGTTTTCTTACTCCACACACACACACACACACACGCGCGCGCGCCTCTTGTTTCCTTAGTGGTAAGTAGGAACCCGTTTGTTAGTCGATTGGCAAATCGCTTTCCGGGGGTAATAATCCCTTCAAAATAAATAATAAAAATAATTTGGTCCTCAGTCCACGGCTGTTTGTGTGGGGGGGACGCTGCTGTGCGCAATTGGCTGTCGCGTTTCGCCCCCAAAATGCACAGTCAATTCACTTTACAGTAATATTCTGTGAAGTGCTTTGAGACGTCTCAACGACGTGATAAGGCGCTGTATCAAATGCCAGGATTCTTATATTAGCAATAATGACAACTATTCCCTACCTATTTGACTCACTGAATACTGTGTACCTGATATATGTATATATATATATGTGTGTGTTAAAAATATATATTCTGATGCTTGCACAGGAAAGACAAGAGGGATTCAAAACCTGCAACTGAGCCAAAGAAATATGAAGAGTCGTCTCCACCTGTAAGTACACTTAACAGCACTGCCTAACCTGCCTGTAATGTTAAACTGTGCCAAGTAGCGTACTGTTCAGCAGAGGTTCTGTCGGGTGGAAAGAAATAATCCCTCGAGGAAAAACACAGTAATAATTTGGTCACTTCAATCCACGGCTGTTTGTGGGGGGGGGAACGCTGCTGTGCGCAATCGGCTGCCGCGTTTCGCCCACAAGCTATACAGTCAATTCACTTTACAGCGTATCCCGTGAGGGGCTTTGAGACGTCTCGAAGACGTGATGAGGCGCTGTGTCAAATGCCGGGATTGTTTAATTTAATTTTTAATTGAGGTAGAAAGAAAAAGGTTAATCGAGTTGTTTCACGGGGGCATCGAATGTTTTTTTTTCCCCTCCGTTTACCTAACGGGAAGTAGGAAGCCGGTCGTCAGTCGACTGGCGGAACACTTTCCGAGCGCGCGCTTGTGTTTGCACGGAGCTTGCAGTCGCCGGCCTCTCTAATCAGTCTGCTTACTGTGCTCTGTCTCAAGCAGAAGTTCAGCTCAGCGAGCAAATACGCTGCGTTGATGATCGACGAAGACGGCGAAGAGGGCACAGACTAAAAAAAAAAAACACACACAAACACAAAGCGAAAGCGAAAAGGTCTACGGCGGGGAGGGGGGGGCGGGGGGGGAAAAAAAAACCGCAAGACGAGACAAAAAAAAAAGTCACTTTTTCTCCTCCCCTCCCCCCCCCACTCCCCCCGCCCCCGCGTTTCAGAGAGAAACGAACGAAGGAACTCCGATTAAAGAAAAAAAACAAAAAAAAAACGAAAAATGTGACCGTTAAATAACCCCCATATGGCTTCACATCTCCGGGAAGTTTTATTTTGTTGCATGCTTCTGCGGCCATCAAATATGATACGGAGATTTCATCTCTCCACTTTAAAAACACGCGGCTACGAGCCTCTCGAGAGAGAAAAAAAAACAACATTGTGTGCGGTAGTTAGAATGGTATTTGCAGTTAAAATTAAACCTCCCTCTCTCTCTCTCTCTCTCTCTCTCTCTCTCCCTCCCTCCCTCTCTTCCTCTCTCTCCCTCCCCCTCTCTCTCCCTCCACCTCTCTCTCCCTCCCTACTCTTTTGAGCTTGTCATTAAAAAAAAAAGGAGGTGTAAGATTCGGCCCAAGCGATTTGAAAAAAGTCCGGGGAACTGGTTTGACGCGGAATTGTATATCAAAAAAGGAAACGGAAGACTTAACGTCGCGATTTTTTTTTTTAAAAAAAAAGGAAATGTAGGTGGGTGGGAGTGGGGGGGTTAGGGGGACGGGGGGGGGGGGGGGGCGGGATAGATTTTGCTTCTCTTTTGCCCCACAACCCACCCTTACACTTACACCTTACCCGTCCCTTCACACACACACACACACACACACACACACAGCGATTTTGAACCGATACGGATCGACGAGATGGCCAATCGGCCCTTCTTTTTTGCGGCAAATCCGCCCTTATAAAACGCACCGCTCACCGACACGAGTAAACAAAGGAAATAAATACAGAGTAAATACTTTGCTTCGCGTTTATTTCAATGGTCGAGTGCCACCAGATCCCGAAATCGTTGGTCTCTTTTTTTATCAGAGGTGCTGTTCACGTATCGACTTTTAACCTCTCGGCTTCAGCTGTGTGTACAAACTTAAAAAAAAAGACCTTGACGAATGACTCGAGAGAGAGAATTTTATGTGCTGATAAAAAAAAAAGACAAATTAAATTTATACATGAAAGTGAATCGGAAAGAACAAATCCCTGGGTGCGTGTAAGATACTTTTTGCGGACGATACCGTCGTTGGCATTTTCTGGTCTTCCCTTTATTGCTGGTGTGTCGCCGTTCACCACTTGCGTGTCTGAACGTCTCCCTCGCTCGCCTCTCTCTCTCTCTGTGTGTGTGTAAGTCAGGTTATTCGCCGCGCTGCGTTCCCTCCAGGTTCGAGGTTAGTCCAACCCGACAGAGTTGATTTGGCCGCAGGTTTCCCGAAAGCCCTTTGGGCTCCCGATTGTGCCACTTGGAGGCCTTTGGCAAACCGACGTGGCGATCCCGCAGTGTAGGCGCTCGGTTCATGGCGCGACCATCTCCAGCAAAAAAAACGTTACGGTGCGTTTCATCGCGGTCCCAAACGTTGTAGCCGGACGCCCAGCGAGTGGGTCCCGCGCACACGGCGCTGGTTTGAACGCTATCCGGGTCCTCTCGAGTTTTTGACACGCGTGCACACACATGCACGTACACACGCCCACGCACGTGTACACTTCCCCGTTGAGTATCTGAACCGTTGCAGCTCACCTCTCGGAGGGTGAATGGGACAAATCCCCTCTCTTTCCCCCCCTCCCACCCCCCACACCCCCCACCACCCCAGACCATCATTTCCTTCCTTAAATTGATCAGCGCCACAAGCCAGAAACGCAGAGAGAAAGTGGTGCTCACTTAACAGTAAAGGCCAAAGCATTCTTCCTTTCCTTCTCCCCCCACTTCTTCCCACCCCCCACCCCCCCCCCCCCCCACAAAAAGAAAGGAGGTAGAGTTTGACAAACGTTTATCCAATTGATCTCCTCTCCCATCTTTCCATCCCTGACGTTCTAAAAGCCTTTTGTTCCCCCTTTATTTTTCTGATGGGTGCGGACTGCAACATAGGAAATCCTGTGCTTCGTAACCCCCCCCCCCCCAGGAGTTTAACCTCTTTATCTCCCCCCCCCAGCCCCACACCACCACCCCCTCCTCCCCAGTTCATCTCAATTCACTTAGGCTTGGGGTGGGTTGCTCCCGGTTAGATGGGGTCCTTGCTTTGAAACCGTTTGGTTTGTAGGGCGGTCAACGGCCGGGCGTCTTGAGGCGGGCGGAGACCCAAGGCCGCGCTTAAGAGAGTCTTAGCGGGCGGAGGTCTGCGCGTCGCGGGCCACCCCAAAGACTTTATTGTACCCGCGCGTTGAACGCAACCCGTGCGCTTGCTCAACAGAGGAGCGACACTTACGCCAGAAAGCAATTGGGGCCCCTTCTGGGTCGGGCCGACAAAGTAAAGCTCTCGGATCGAGTATTTCTTGGATTTGACGCCATAAATCAAGAAATATTCCACCGAAACAGAACTGACAACACAAAGACGGTTGAACACAGATGTACCCAGACTCGCGTGAACGTTCAGGGGGTGGAGGTGGTGGGCTGGCGGGGGGCGTTGGGGGGGCGGTTGGCGAGAGGATACAGGTTGTTGCCCACCTGCTGAGTTCGGCACAGGTTGGTGAGCTCTCTTAGTGTTGATTAATAGGCAGTAAAAATGGCAGTCATTTTCCCCGGGAAGGAAACCTGTTCACGTTCCAGCCGAGGCCAAGAAACGCGGCGTCTTCGAGACGTCTCAAAGCGCTTCTCACGGGAAATTGAATTGACTGTATCGTGTGCGCGTGTGTGCGCGTGTGTGCGCGTGTGCGGGGAGTAAGGAAACTCGCCCAATGTTTGGCCCTGACCTGACCCGCCCAGTTGCCGACCCCTTGAGCCCTGAACCCCAAATCCCACCTCCTGAACCCCATGTGCTCCTCTCCCTCAACCAACTTTTTCCTCTATTACCATCGTGATCAGGCCTCGAGTCTCTCCGCACCCCACCCGCCCTGTGGAGCTCCATCCCACAGTCCCTTCACCTCACTCCCTCCCTCGCCTCCTTCAGGGCCTGTCTCAAGACCTTCCTCCCTTGAACCCCTTTTGCTTCCAGAGCCTCGAAGGCGCTAAACCCATACAGGGACTCATAATGTCGGCCGACTTTGGTGGGCTTCGGGCTACAAAAGGATTCTGGTTGCTGGATAGCCTTGAGAGCGGTGCGTTCAACTCACCATGATGTCTCCTTTCAACAGCAAGGCCGGTTCGATCGTAACGCACAACCTTTTGCAACTTGTCCCCTGGACACCACTGGAGAGAACCAACAGAAGCTCTGGTTTAAGAGGTGATTAGAACGAACGATACTATCAACAATAATCCCGATCGCAATCCTTGCGTTTGATACGGCGCCTCGAGAGCCGTGTCTCGAAGGTGGTGTCTCGAAGCGCTTCACGGAGTCTTCGTCAAGTCCGGCGTCCGTATATTTTGCGGGCGGTATGCGGCGGCCGTTTGCACACTCCATCCCTCTGTACGGCTGTGTCGAGTTTCGCTCTCTTCTCTCTCTCCTCCGTCGCCTCCTCCAGCCGTCTCAAGACCCTCTCTTCGACCGCGACGTTCGGTCACCCTCCTACCCCTCCCCCCGCACCCTCCCCTTCCTGACCCAACCCCCAGCTCGGGTCCAAATCCCTGACCGCCCAGGCCTTGGGACGTCCTCTGAAAGGCCCCTGAACCCTGAACCCCAGGTCCCACCTCCTGAAGCCCATTTACCCCAAAGGAAATGTAATGTGGTATTTGTTGTTTCGTCTGTTGTTGTGTCCCCTTAAAAGCGAGGTTAGAAGTGGGGGAAGTGGGGGGGGGGAGGGAGGAGGAAGAGGGGAGAGTGAGGCGGTGTTCGATAGACTAAAAAGATA